CCATGGCCTGAGCACCCTCTGGGCAAGGAATTGTTCCTCAGCTCCAGCTAAACCTGCCCTGGGGCAGCTTGAGGACGTTTCCTCTTGTCCCACCCCTTGTTCCTTGGGAGCAGAGACCAGCCCCCTCCTGGCTCCATCCTCCTGTCAGGCAGTTGCAGAGAGCGATCAGGTCCCCCCTGAGCCTTCTCCTCTCCACACTAAAACCCCCCAGGTCCCTCAGCCCTTCCCCATCACACTTGTGCTCCAGATAGTCAATACCTTAACTACAATAAAACCCTCTTTGGTTGCCTTGAACCTTCCCAGGTCCCACTAAAACTTCATTAATCACTCAAAATAAAGAGCAAAAGACAAAGATGTTACTGAAAGACAGACACACACACACAGCCCCTGGGCACTGCCTGCATGGGCCCAGCCGCCCCGAGACATGTTTGTTCTCTCTGGAAATCATCACGTTGCTGCTCATTCCAGCCCTAATCCGCTGTGTTAATCCCCTATTTCCAACAGTATAAATCACTTCACAGCACTGAAGTGGAAATAACAAATAACCTTATCCAGTTCTTTATCCCTTGGGAAAGGCAATGGTGGCTGATTTGAGGGAGGATCAAGACAGAAGCCTCAGTGGAAGGAGGATTACAGGAGCAAACGCTCCTCAGCTGTCTCCTGGTTCAAATGGAGGATGACTGAGCCAGGAGAGGTCAATTTTTAGGAAGAGAGATGTCGGGATACCTGCAATGCAGCCAATGCCTTCAAGATCTCCAGGTCCCACCATGCCTCTTGTGAAGCGTAAGGAAACTCAAGAGTGTGTTTCCTGCTAAAACATGATCACAAATTGCATCACATTCTGGAAACTACGTTCTAGTGACAGGACAAGGGGAATGGCTTGAACCTGCCAGAGGGGAGACTGAGATGAGCTCTGAGGCAGAAGCTCTTCCCTGTGAGGGTGCTGAGGTGCTGGCACAGGGTGCCCAGAGAAGCTGTGGCTGCCCCATCCCTGGCAGTGTTCAAGGCCAGGTTGGACACAGGGGCTTGGAGCAACCTGCTCCAGTGGAAGGTGTCCCTGCCCGGGGCAGGGGTTGGAGCTGGAGGAGCTTTAAGGTCCCTTCAACCCAAACCAGGCTGGGATTCTATGTACCCTCTTAATGGCTGCTGCTCCTTGGGTAACAGCAACAGACCAGAGAAAGCCTTAGTAAGTGCTGCTGCTTGGAAAGGAGTCTGTGCTACAGGAGAAATGCAATGCTCCTATGAAAATACTGAAAATCAAATAATGTTACATCTAATACAGATGTTGTATGAGAGGGATGGAAAATATTAGCCATTTGCTAATTTGAGTAAACATGGAATTAAACATGACATTCATTTGATTAATAGTTTCTTAAAGTTGATTAAACCCATCTCTACGAAACAGAAATGGGCTTGTTTTTGCAGAGCTGCCAGAGCCACAGCTCCAGGGCTCCCCGGCCTCTTCAAAAGGGATTCCTGAGTTCCTGTGTCCTTCTTTTGGTAGGGTTCCTGTGCTGAGGAGCACACAGTCTGTCCTGAGGATGCACAAAACCACAGTGGAAAGCAAATGCCTTGCCCAAAGCTACCCAGTGGTGCTGCCTCCCATCACCACGAGATCACACAGCACCACAGACTTCACAGGTCACTCACTGAGGTCTGCATCCCTGTTTTGAGATGGACGGGACACTGGCTCCTAAACTCCTTCCTCAGTGTGGGCAGATAGTGCTTAATCAACCAAAGCAACTAAGCCACTCATAAATTTCAAACTCCAGTTTCCAGGTAGGAAGATCTACATTTTCTGTAATTAAATGCAAGTTGTAAATGACTTTGTAAATGCAAAAAGCTTTTCTTAGCATCAAAGGAAATTTAGCATATTGACATAATTATCCAGGAAGATGACAGATGAATCATCGCAGCATTTTGTTGAAAGTGTATATACAATTCTGATGCCTGATAGACTGCTATGTGCCAGACTTAACCTTTCTTTAGCATAAACAGAAAAGGAAGCAGTCACGAGGAGCAGCTCTCTTCAAAGCCAAAAAGGTCCTGCCCTGGGACAAGAATATCTTTTTCCCCGTTTCATGTTCTGATCAGAATTAATTTTCCATCCCCACGTGCTGCTGCTCAACAGAATAAATCCTCTTTGGCAAGTTTACGTTTGGAACTCTGAGTATTCTCATATGAGCTCACAAAAACTGTCAGCTGCTATTCTGTAGTAAGGTTTTGAGTTACGTTTTGGTCTTCAATGATGGGCAGAAGTCACAAGACCGTGAGAGGTCCTGTTCTGGCCGGGGTTGTCTGAGGAGACCTTCCTCTGCTGTTTGCCTTTTATCTTTACAGCACCACCCTAAGGAAGAGCCCAAGCTTGTATTTAACTGTTCTGCATCGTCTAACACAACCTCAGGAATCCACGGAGCTCTCCTGCCAGCTTTTGCCTTTTCTTTCTCAAGAGACATGGCTGCAAACACAGGTGACTGTTCAAACCCCCCCTCTTCGTGACTTGCGCACTACTCAGCATTCCACGTTCATCAGCCATGGCAGTTCCACATGGACTCACAACAAAGCCAGGTGGGAATTTGTGTGGGAGACTGTGTCCCAAGCACGTCAGAACAGTGTAATAGACACCTCAGTGCTCAGCAGTTATCTGAGGCTGTGACAGAACACCTTCATTAGCAAGCAGTGCTAATGACAGCACTGTCACTAACAATGTCCACTCCCTGGACTCTATGAAAAGCTGGACTCTACCTCATCAACACTGCAGCTGGATTTTGTGCTGCTACCGTTCCTCATGACTGATGCTACGTCTTAAGTATCTAAAAAGAGGTTTTCAGTAATTGGTAAAAATCTTCTGGACAAGATTTTTGGGCTCTTCTGGACAAACAGGTCTCAGATTGCCCAAGAAATAACCTGCTTTTGCAAAGTTTCCAGCCATCCAAATAAAGTTTCCAGCACTGAAAGCAGCAGCAGGTCAGGCTGACCACGAGACCATTGACTGGTGTTAGGTTGCCTTGTTAGGGCTGTAATGGGCAGAGGAAAAAACAAAGGGCAGCACGGTCCATATCCTGGTCAGAGCCTGGGTTTTTTACCCTCATGGTGTGGGCTTTTGATCACAGAATCATAGAATCCCAGCCTGGTTTGTGCTGGATGGGACCTTAAAGCTCCTCCAGCTCCAACCCCTGCCCCGGGCAGGGACACCTTCCACTAGAGCAGGTTGCTCCAAGCCCCTGTGTCCAACCTGCCCTTGAACACTGCCGGGGATGGGGCAGCCACAGCTTCTCTGGGCACCCTGTGCCAGCGCCTCAGCACCCTCACAGGGAAGAGCTTCTGCCTCAGAGCTCATCTCAGTCTCCCCTCTGGCAGGTTCAAGCCATTGCCCTTGTCCTGTCCCTCCATCCCTTGTCCAAAGCTTCTCTCCAGGTCTCCTGGAGCCCCTTTAGGCACTGGAGCTGCTCTAAGGTGTCCCCTTCAGGAGCCTTCTCTTCTCCAGCTGCCCCAGCCCAGCTCTCTCAGCACAGGTGATTTCAGAACAAGATGATCTCTGACTAATGCAGTGAAACCTCAACTGAAGCGTTTTCACTCGCCTCACTCACTGTTCCTGTGGACCCACCACATCACCACCCCGATGAAACACATCTTCCACAAGAAAACAGCAGAACAGCACCAGGGCAATGAAGTCTCATGCACATGCAAGGACATGGCACGTGCACACACACACATACTGAACTTGGAGCTTGCAGTGCAAAGAAATGGTGTAAAATGCCACGACAGAAGCAGCAAGGAGCTATCGACACAGGGACTGGGTGAGAGTCACTGAAAAAGGGTGTGAAAAAGGACTAGAGCTAGGAAATCAACCAGTAACAGATTTCCAGAGCTAACCAGCTTTTTGATCATCACCTCCCACCTTCTCCCACATGCTTGGCAAAAAACCCTTGTTAAAAATAAACAACAAAACCTCTCAGCATAACTCATTCTGAGTGGGAAAATAGCCCAGGGCTTCAGAGAACCCTTTAGACCACGTCGTGCCAGCCCAGTCCATCACTCAGGACAACCCCCAACACCCTCCTGACTTGCTGTCCCCACTCACAAGCTATAAACCTTCCTAGGAAACAGAGCATGATGAGTATGTGCTGTGAAATGGCCACAGTTGTGCTGTGGATCCAAACACACCTGTTTCACCAAGATGCCAGGAATTAAAGCAATGCCAAATGGCAGCAAGGTATTTTCCTGAACACACTTTTCCTGTGTTTACTTAGCAGCCATCATCCAACAATGAAAACAGCCTATTTCAGCACCGCTCCTGTTTCAGTAAGTATGTAACAGCAGGCACCTGACATAACATACGAGCAAACTGAGGGTCCAAGCCTACCTTGCCAAAGCTTCCCTTCCCAATCGCCCGGAGAATCTGGAAGTGGTCAAAGTTCACTACAAGGGAAAGAAAACAGAATTGACATTTGTAAATGCTTTACTGCAAAGATCTTACATTTAAAAAGAAGACAAGAAGACAACTAAAGAGCATTGGTCAAGCTTCAAGTCACGGCCTCCTGGGGAAGATGACGGCCAGCAGTTGGTTTGCTTTCAAATCTCTTTACCTGCTTGTAGTAGCTAGAAAAGAGGTTGAATTAGACTATTAAAGAAGAGGTTTAGCAGAAGTTAAAATACAGCTTTGGCCTGTGTTGATACAGGAGTCTCACAGAGACCATAAGCACATGAGCCAACTCAGAGCATGCTGGCTCCATACAGCTTCACACTCTGCATCCTGGGGGTCTGGCCCTGGTGCTTTCCAAAGGACAGCAATCAAAGGACAATGACTGACCTCCCCTCTCCCCACGTGCAAACCCATCTGTACCTGATCTGCTGAGTTTTCCAGAGCCGCAGTGAGGAGCAATGACAAGAAAGGTGGGTGCAGCTCTAACACTTCAGCTAGTGCCACGACCAGCAGCACTGCAAATGAAATTACCTTCACTAAACTCTTGCTGTGATCTAATCTAATCTCAGTCTTCAATAAATAAAAAAGATATAATCACAGAACCCCAGCCTGGTTTGGGGTGAAGGGACCTTAAAGCTCCTCCAGCTCCAACCCCTGCCACGGGCAGGGACACCTTCCACTAGAGCAGGTTGCTCCAAGCCCCTGTGTCCAACCTGGCCTTGAACACTGCCAGGGATGGGGCAGCCACAGCTTCTCTGGGCACCCTGTGCCAGCGCCTCAGCACCCTCACAGTAAGAATACAGGTCTATTCATACCACTAATGAAATAATCCTCATTGCCACATAAGGAGTGCCTCACAGACAAACAAATAAATGAATACTCTCACAAAAGCCAGTGTAAAGGACACATCATTACCCCCATATTACAAACTGCCTCTTTATGCCTCAGCTCCTTGACGTTCTCAGAGCTCAGGAAGCTGGATGCTGCAAACAGAGCCCCTGACACACACTCTGCACGTCGAGGATGGCTGCAGCACAAGCCCAGCACTCCCAAAGAGGCCAGAGGTGTTGAGGAGGAGCTCACCAGCGGCCTGAGCTGCATCGTGCTCAGCTCCACCTGTCACCCCTGGCATTCCCACCTGGAGACCCTCCCCGTGCAAAGGGACCCTCAGCATTTACTCCCCAGAAGGCTGGATGAAGAGAAATGCAGGGCACGGGTTTGGGGTTCTGAGGCATAAATGAAGCATAAGGCGTTCAAGAGAGAGCACTGAACCCATGTTTGACTGACAGTGGAGACCAAGATCACACAGGAAGAGCAGGAGCAAAGAATTCACCATAAATATTCTGAATCCCACTCCCAGATCTTAAATAAATGCACATCTGTCATCTCTGAGGATGAATCAAAAGCCCACGCATGCCCGTGGAGTTCCTATTACCCTTTTGTGCTAGGCTTATATCCAAAATATTGTTATTGTCACTTTCATGGGACATTTTCTGCAGGAGAACTTGGAAAACTTTGCCAAATGAATTGAAAACAGAGTCTGGGCCAGTTCCTACCACATATCTGCCCGCACTCCCAGCCCACTCCACGCTCCACAAGCGATGCTGAAGGGCAGATGCACCATCTCCTCCCAACAATGCTGCAGGAGACTCCATGAAAGAGTCACTGGGGAAACCAATGCCTCCCCATCCTGACAGCCCCCTGTGCCGCCGGAGGGCTCAGCTACATGGCTGGTGTGTTATCTCCTTATCACACCCCTTCTCTCCCTCTGCTCCCCCTCTGCTCCACTTGGAGCACTGTGTGTAATTCTGGTGTCCCCAACACAAGAAGATGGAGCTGCTGGAGCGAGGCCAGAGGAGGCCCCGGAGCTGCTGCGAGGGCTGGAGCAGCTCTGCTCTGGAGCCAGGCTGAGAGAGCTGGGCTGGGGCAGCTGGAGAAGAGAAGGCTCCTGAAGGGGACACCTTGGAGCAGCTCCAGGGCCTAAAGGGGCTCCAGGAGACCTGGAGAGGGGCTTGGGACAAGGGATGGAGGGACAGGACAAGGGGAATGGCTTGAACCTGCCAGAGGGGAGATTGAGATGAGCTCTGAGGCAGAAGCTCTTCCCTGTGAGGGTGCTGAGGCGCTGGCACAGGGTGCCCAGAGAAGCTGTGGCTGCCCCATCCCTGGCAGTGTTCAAGGCCAGGTTGGACACAGGGCTTGGAGCAACCTGCTCTAGTGGAAGGTGTCCCTGCCCGTGGCAGGGGTTGGGACTGGGTGAGCTCCCTTCCAACCCAGACCAGGCTGTGACTCTGCGATTTTACTGAGGTTTTCCTACGGCCCCTCTCAGAGCGCCTGCAGTGAGCAGTGCACTGCTGCGACTACCTCGTCTTCATAAACATTCTCTCTCAGACCCAAACCGTTCTCACACAGCACACAGTGCCGAAGCATTTGGGGCAACAGATCCAGGCTTCTTCACGCACTAACAAATCCACTAACTGAACTCCTGTCACTCAGGAACACTCAGTGAGGAAACCCAGCACAGTGACAGTGTTTTTGTGGCAGTGAAACCCCTGCGGTCGCTCATGATCCGCGATCAGTCCGGGAGGACAGTTCTTGACAATTCCTTGGCACAATGTTTGGAATATTGTGTAAAAAAAGCATCACCACTAAGAAAACAAACCCCAAAGTGTCATTGCCATGTCTCCATGGCTACAACTGCTCTAGAAAGCATGTTCCAGGTAGCAGTGAAGAAATCCAGATATGAATGTTCACCTTGAACCTATCACTGAAGATGTCACTTCTAAGTTAAATCCAGGGTTCTGCCCCGTGAAGTTCAGCTGGTGTCAGAAACAGGCACTGACGGCTTTTCACTTTCATTATTTTCTTCAGGAATTAGTAAGCAATCCCATTAAAGCAGCAGCAGATGCCAACAGCTGGGCAAGGAGATCCCAGCAGCAGCAGGCTGCTCTCGTGCTCAGCACGCTGGGTTTCTAGAAATGGCAACGTAGCCCTACAGAATACGTGGTGACACTGACACAGGAACCTGGACCTGCCCGGCACAGTCACCTGTGCTCGAGGCCCTGCTCCCTGCGAGCTGACAGGACAAAGCCCTTCACCCGCTGCTGGACGAGCTGGTGGTCTGGGGTGACCGGTCCAAGCCGGAGGCACAGGTGCCGGTGGAGGACTCACGAGAGGCTCCCAGCGAGCAGGAGATGGCAGCTGCTGCCTCCCCGCAGGACCAGACTCACCCACTGTGCTGCCCTCAGCAGCACCGAGTGACAGGCACAGGCTTGAGCACAGAAACAGCTTTGGCTTGGGGTGGAACCAGAGGAGCCCGCCAGAGGCAGGGAAGGACCTGGAAACCTGGCGTGCCTTAGGAAGCATTTCTTTACTGGGAAGCTGGTCAAACACTGGCACAAGCTTCCTGGAGAGGTGGTCGAGGCCCCAAGCCTGTCAGGGTTTAAGAGGCATTTGGGCAATGCCCCTAATAACATGCTTTAACTTAGTCAGCCCTGAAGTGGTCAGGTGGTTGGATGAAGTGACCATTGGAGGTCCCTTGAACTCCAACTGAAATATTCTATTCTGTTCTCTTCTGCTCTTCTTCTACCTTACCCTACTCTACCCTATCCTATCCTAGTCTATCTATTCCTATTCTATTCTATTCCTATTCTATCCTATCCTTAGTGGCATGGGTTACTGGTGGCCTTGGCAGTACTGGGGCAACGGTCGGGCTTGATGATCTGAAAGATCTTTTCCAACCTGGTTGATTCTGTGATCTTATCCTATCCTAAAGCCAACTGCAATGTGCAAACACAAGGGATCATGGTGCAGGGACGCTGACTTCTTGGTCACACCCCAACCCGATGCCATGTGTTGTGTGCACCCAACGGGTACTTCATTAGCTCCTCGTGACAAAAACTACACTAATGACTCCTAGTGACTCCTCTGACGCTCGTTATCAACATGGCACCTCTGCAGGTAAGTGGGACTGCTGGACACACAATGGTATTTGCCATGAGAGAAACATGCCTCTTCCTGACTCTCCCCAGCACCAAGAGACAAGCCATGAACCACAAATAGAGATGAACACCATGACCTGGATTTGCTCAGCTCAGCGTGTTCTTGTTCTCCATCTCCAGCACTGCCTGACAAGCAGGGGCAGGGTTTCACATGCCAGCGGGACCTCAGCAAACCTCACGCAGCCCAGTCCAGCCCACTTCACAAGAGAGGGCCAGGTGCTGCACTGGCATCCCTGTAATTAAGACGTCATTGTAGTCACAAAATGTACTCTGTGATAAAGCTTCTATTCTCCAGTGAAATAAAGGGAATCAAGAACGCGTTTCTCTGCAAAAATTCTTTCTACAGAAGGATGCCTCAACGTGAGATGCAAAAAAATGAGGTTTTTGTCTTTGCTATCTCAAAATTGTGAATGTTTTCGTTATTTTTGCTGTTCGTTCTGCATATCTATACAAGACACCTAAACGCATGGCAAGATGAAAGTACCATAAGACTTCAGCTACACAGTGGACACTCAGTGAGGGTTCAAACTCAGGACCTGGTATTGACGTCCAATAGCAGGAAAACAATGGCTGCAGTTGGTAAACCTGGTATCCAGTATCCTAAAATCTTGGGAAAACAGAGAACTACAAATCAAGTCAACCTTTCACTATGTATCTGCACATTTTCCAGTGTTACCAATCAAAACAGGGAAATTTTAACTCCAAGAATGACCCTCCACAATGGTGAAGACATACAAAAGTCTTTCTTGAGCCTTGTAACAGCACATCTGTAGGGCTAGTATGACATGATCAGCTTTCTCTTTCTATCAATGTATTTCTATATGTTGGTATAATTAATAGCATTTGTCAACCTATTACATTACTGCAATTTATCTTTGGAAGAAAGCACCATGGTAATTGATGTAAAAGCATTAATATGTGGCCACAGTAACCACAAGTTTCCTGCCACAAAATGCCCACAGCTTCAGCCCACAGAAAAGAGAGTTACAGCTTACACT